CCAGTTAGAGTTCTGTGTTGCTAGCGTCAGCAGAGTGGACAAACAGTATGTACAGTCTACAGGAATGTAATTCACTTTGCCTTTAGAACTGGTCCCTACAGGTCAGGATTGAGTCACATTGTGAGATGCAGTCTGGAAACCATTTGCTACTGTTCATAGAGCACCTGTTCTCTTGTGGCAGTTTTCTCTGTATGGTGATCAGTTTGGCAGATTTCAGTTAATAAATAAATAAGGAGTTAAAATCACTTGATTATACATTTGAATGTTAAAAGCATACTTTGCTCTTTTGGCTTGGACCCAATTTTTAATTTTGGGCTCAGATCAAAAGATCATGGTTTACTAGTCTTTATTGATCCTTTAAAGGATTTTTTTATGTATTTTTCTCAGTTGGCTTTGTTCTCTGTTGTAAAACCATTGGAAAGCTTGGAGGATCAAGACTCAGATTGTGTTAGTTTATATGTACACGGTGTAAAAGGAAACAAGTGAGATTGTAAACCAGGAGTGAGCAGTAATTTTTGCAGGAGGGGGCACTTCATGAATTTTGATACAGTCATGGGCCAACTCTGTTCCCCCTACACTCCTCTGGAAGGGATGGGGCTTTGAGAGAAAGGGGTGGGAGTTTGGGTGAAGGAGACAGTTGTGACCTGGGGCACTGGACTGGGGTGCAAGGGGTTGGATTGTGACCCAGGGCAGGGAATTGGGGTACAGGAGGAGATGCAGGGATTTGGGTTGTGAGCTAAGGCAGGAGGGGACTGTGATCTGGGGCAGGGATGGGGGTTGGGGTGCTGGATCTGGGAGGGGATTTGGATACAGGATTTGGATACAGGCAGAGGATTTGGCTATGTGGAGTAGGGGGTGGGAGTGGGGGGAAGAGGGTTGGAGAAGGGAGGGACTGGGGTGCCCGAGGTAGACTCTGCCAGGAGACTTACCAGCCAGCAGCAGCTCCTGAATCTGCCTCCCTGCCTGGTACAGGCTGCAGCCATGTGCTCTGGAGCCCCTTGTGCTTCATGGCTGCCTGTTATCGAAACAGGCAGCTCCCATTGGCCAGTTTCTGGCCAGAAATTGGCCAGTGGGATTATGCTGAGGGTGGGAGCAGCTCCTAAACTTTTCCCCTCCTCTTTGGCTCATTGTTTTTAAAGAAAAACCACACCACAGCCTCATTTCTGAGTGGTGTTAGGGTGGGGTGAGGCAAGTGGGGAGCCTGCCTGGGTCTCCCTGCAGTGTCTGTGGGCTGGATCTGGTGCCTTGGTGGACCATATTTTGCTCAGGCCTAGGCTAGAGGCTACAAAGAGAGAGACAGAGTGTGAAAGAGTGAAACTCTGAATGTGAGACACAAACTTTGTGACATACTGTGTGTGTGTGTGTGACACATAGATGGGCAAATGTATGGGACAGTGACTGTGGTGGGGGGCACAGACAACAGTGTGGCACAGACTGTCTTCCCCCCCCCCCCCCACTCAGCAGAGAAGAGGTATGAAGGGGGGGGAAGCACGAGAGAGTGCACGCACTGAAATCTTAGAAATGTTAGAAACAGTGCACTGCCTCTTAAGACAGACACTCCTCTGAGTCACTTACCATCGATGCTTCAGATTGGAACAGCTCCACAGTTTGTCTCTCTCTCCTGGACCTGTGCTCTGCAGACCTGTGGTACAGGGGAACACCCTGACTTCAGCATTTCCCTCTCCCCTCCACCACTAGCAGGAGAATCCTGGGAGCAGCTCAGCTGCAGGATGGAGCAAGGGGGCGGAAGGGCAGCAGCTGCTGCCTGTAAGTATGCATGTTCCGTGAATCAGCTTGGCAGGCCAGATCTGGCCCCCAGACCTGAGTTTGCCCATCCTGTTGTAGACTGTCTTTGTAGCCAGGAAGATAGTCATATGTTAATTATGGCTGTTTACCCATATGTACGTACATGACAGTTTATTCTTGGATTAGAAGACTTATTGCCCAGGTCCTTCAGGGGAAGAGGCTGGCAGTGTGAGGTTGCAGGAGTCAGGGCAGGGCCTTGGGGATGTGGTTGGGGAGTGAAGAGGGGCTCAGGCCAAGGGGTAGTGTGCAGGAGTCATGCCAGAGAGTGAGGTCTTTAGGCTCCCAAGTTGGTTAGGCGCTTTGGAAAATGTTACCTTGTGTCCCTAAAGGTTTTTGTTGTTGGGATATATCCTCTCATTGTTTCTTTTCTAACTTCTTATGTCTTGTATAATTCAAAAGTTAGGATTCATTGGCAAAACAACAACAACAAAAACAGTTTAAGCAATTCATATTTTCCAATCATTGTGGTTTCATTGAAATGAGTGTCGAGCTCTAATCCCAGAGAGACTTAAGTGGCACAATTACAGATAGCAGATAGGTTATATTGATTAGATTTTGACACCTGGTATGAATGATATCATTGTGAATAGTGAACATGTTTATACTGGAATATTATGACTTGTGTTTCACAATTTAAATATAAATGTAGAGAGATTTAGAAAATTTTAGCACTTACCAGCTATAGCCTAATTTTGCTTGATGTCTGTGTTATGCAACTACCAGTAACAGGATGTGTAATTAGATTTACATGTTGGAATCAGGCATAAACAAGCTTTTATGGCTTCTGTAATTTTTTTTTTGAAACTTTAAAATATATACTTGTAACTTAGGAGGGAAATAACTTGCTTATTTTAAAAATAATTCCATGTAAAGGACCTTGCCAACTTATATTTGTTCCCAAATGTAAAATTTGCCAGCATGTTCTTATCTAACCCAAGACTAATGGAAATATTTCACAATTTTAAAAAAATTCAATGGAAACAAGCAAATAAATATTCTCATGTAATGTTTGGGACGCAAATATTCCAAAACTAGACTTACCTGGTGTTGCCCCTATCCTTCAGGGCAGGGAACTGGCAGTGGGGGGGAGGGTGCAGGAATCAGGGCAGGGCCTTGGGGATGTAGGGGTGGAAGGCAGGAGTCTGGGGCTATGGGAGTATGTGTCCAAGAGTGAGGGGATGAGAAGGGGCTCAGGGTAGCATGTAATGTTTGGGACGCAAATATTCCAAAACTAGACTTACCTGGTGTTGCCCCTATCCTTCAGGGCAGGGAACTGGCAGTGGGGGGGAGGGTGCAGGAATCAGGGCAGGGCCTTGGGGATGTAGGGGTGGAAGGCAGGAGTCTGGGGCTATGGGAGTATGTGTCCAAGAGTGAGGGGATGAGAAGGGGCTCAGGGTAGGGAGGGGGCCCATCGCAGCTGGCCTTCTGTTTTCCCTCCAGCCTCCCCTTGGTTGGTAGGGACCTTCTCCTCTCCTCCC